GTTTACTTTTTTATATAAATATGTAATATATTAAGTTGAATGTATGAACGTATGTCGTATCATGACCTTACAGGTGATTTGAAAATTTTTTATATTTTTATATAATTGTTTTACTTTTTTTATTTCAAATAATTTTACGTCTTAACGAATTTGTGAAGAAAAATTATTTGTAATTAGTTTATGAATTGGAAAAAAGTATTGATTATATTTATACGTTTGAATTTTCTTCTTTTTTTTTTTTGTTTATATGTATATGGATGATTGCAATATATTTTAATACTATATATGGGTTTAATTTTTAATATACATATTTATGTATGTACATATACATACATATACGTATATAAATATATATATATATATATTAATATACATATTTTCAAATACTAAAAATCAGAAAAAGAAGGTAATTTTTTTAATTTTCTTTTTTATGAGGGGCAAAATTCATATAATTTAAATATTGCAATGCTTTTTTAAATTTCTGTTTTCTGTTTTCTGTTTTTTTTTTTTCTTCTTTTTTTTAATTATTGTATATATTTGAAAGTATTTCTCATATTGTTGTCGTTAGTCTAACTGCTGCTTTGAATGGTGTTTTGTTGTTGTAGTTGTTGTTCCTTTCCTTGTGATTGTGATTAATGCAAGCAATAATTATAATATCTAAATATTTGAAATATTTTTTTAATATAATTGTTTGCTTTGTTTGTTGGTGTTCAAATATTTATGTGGTTTTTTTTCTTTTTCTCTTACTTGTATTTTTGGCGTTTTTCTCGTTTTGTTTGAATTTTTTAGTGCAAAGGTATTTTTATTTTTTTATTTTTTTTATTATTTTTTTTTTTATTAAATAAACAGGTTTTTGTTGCTTTATGTTCTGTTAAAAGAAAAAAAAAAAAAGTTTTCCTCTTTTTTTGTTAGAAATGTTCTTTCACTAAACGTTATCTGTTAAGAATTTTTCTGGAAAGAGCTTCTACCATTTTTTTTTTTTTTTTTTGTTTCTAGTGAATTATATTTCACAACCTTTAGAAAAAGAAAAAACAAAAAATAAATAAATAATAATTATACTCGTCATTAGTTACAAATTAGATTTACTAATCGTTTTTCTTTATAACGTATCGAACGTACGCTTTACGATATTTTTCAAGCATCAATGGAACTCGGAAAACATAAAAAATTGATAAATAAGAAGCTGAAAATTGAGTACGTCGCTACGTCATGTTTGTAATTCAAGAAAGGTCAAATTTCAATTAAAAAATAATTAAGTTAAGTAAAAAAACCAATATTTAAATTTTACTTTAATAAAAGCATCAACATAACTAGAAGACTAAGCGGGTAACTGAAGCGGTGAGTATAAGTAATTAACTGCCTACCGTTTGTACAACCCGCCCAACGTCTACTCATTTTATTTACAATACGTAAAACCATGTTCACGTCACTGCCTAAACAATGAATATGTTATAAAATAGGAAAAAATTTTGAAACAATATGTGTACGCGATTAGCATATATATCTGTTAAATTTTCAACAACAATTTTGATCGCCAAAAGTACTAAGCCTTCAGCAATTTAAAATTCATCGGTACATATCATTTTGTCCCGCACGCGCCACTGCCAATTAAGTCAATTAGTCAAAATGGTGCAAGTCATTTATATGAAAAAACATTGAAAGGGAATTATTGCAAGAATTAAGATAAAGTCATTTTCTATTTAATAAATATTAAAGTTTTTTTTTTTTTATTTTTTTAGTATCAATACACATACATATGCTATAAGTTTTGAATATATTTAAAGGACATCAAATCTCTCTGACAAATAATTATATATGCAAATATGATTTTAAAAATTAATGATAAATTGCTTTCGGATTGACAATATATATTTACGTATACGTGCTTCCGTCTTTACCTCTGGTCCTGAGATTATCGTAGTAAGCTTGTAAATTGTATAGAAATTAATTATATAAGTTTTTGCCGCTGAATAGTGAATAATGCATTTTTTCGGTTTTATTTTGTGTTTGACAAGAAAATATCTCCTCACTGCAGGTTCAATATATTTTAGGCGAAAATTGTATTAATCATTTTGTTTCTGAAATCAACTATCGGACGAGGAGTGCGGGAAAATTGAAGAAATGAGACTTGCTGGTATGAAAGCAAAGTGGGCATAGCAATTACGGATAAGTTAAGAGATCCTGCGAACTATGGTCGCATTAGGCGCAGTGTACGTATTACAATCGTATTCGACATATAACAACTTTATGAGACTATGAATTGTGGGGAAATAAAGGTAGAATTAGGCCTAAAAATTTAACGTAACGTGATGGCGTGTGCAGCGACTTCACACCATGGCCAGACCGCACTTAAGCCAGTGCCATAAAAATGTCCATCTTGCGTTTGCCGGCAAGTACAAATTTCGGTAGGAAATATTCAAAATTATTATATCTAGTGATGAGAAAAAGGTTTAATTTGGACTGAAAAGAGCAGGGATGTGCGATATCCTACAAGTGCAACCATGATGGTGGATCGCTTGGGGCATGAAGAAAGTCAAAAATATGCTTTCTAAGCGAAAAACATGGTTATGTCCGATACCGATTCATATAGATTCTGGCAAGGGGCGAGAGAGACATCCCATCATATTCAATATGAATGTGAGATCATCTGCAGAATTAGACACTATGTGTTTGGCGAGCATTTTAAAATGCCGCACACGGTAGGGTGCTCCTAATCCTGGAAAGTGGCGGGCTAAGGGCATAAGCGAGTACAATAAATCTACTAGGTCGCTATACGGTTCACCCACGCAATTGATGATAATAATAATAATAATAATAATAATAATAATAAGACAATACCGTATTAATTACATAATACTATGGTTTAACAATACGAGTTAATATTAAATTGAATTATTTTCTTTGAGTTACATATGGAATGAGTTTTTTTTTTTTTTTTCTTATAGAAGATGAATTGAGGATATGTAATTTTTGAAACACACACACAAATACAAAAAAGCAAAAAAATTCGTTTTACAAGCTAATATTCAAAAAAAAAAAAAAAAAAAGCAATGCACATATAAATATTTGACAGGGATGTGTCAAATCTCTTTAGGATAAGTACATATCTGTAAGAAATGGAATAAAGCTTTCGTGCTTCTCTCTTCGTTTTTCTTATATATATATATATATATGCGGAGATATATGCATAGATGATATGCATGTTCAACGCTTGTGAGGAAGAAGTTTCATTTAAAATCTCTAAAATAAATGAAAGATGTTCGCGTTCTCTCGCTCGCCCAATATCAAGGTAAGCACTTAGCATAGGGATGAACGGAATCCTTATGAACGCTAGTAGTACGCTAAGCAGTTGTCGCATCTTTTTCGAATATTTTAATTGAACTGAAGATTATCTCCGTCCGACTTTTCTCGCTATTCGCTAGGAGAGGAATATCTCTTTTCCCCGAGCCAGAGATAGAATATATTTGATATGAAAACCTCTGCACTAACACTTTAAGATCACAGTTGTGTTCTAATGCCTATTTTAACATGTGCAGGCATTCTCCTAACAGGACGAGGCTATTCGATTCGATTAAGAGTAATTTTATTGCAACATAAGCAAGTTTCGTTAATTTTTGTAGAGAAAAAATGCATGCCGTTTAATATAAAAAACAAAAAAATTGGAAATAATTTCAAATTAAAAATTTCAAATACTAATTAATTATGGAAAACAAGTTTACTTTTTCATAGGTGAAATGGAAACGACGGATGCAACGGATCATTCGATCGAATGAGGCATTAAGCATTGAGGTATGTATGGACTTTGGCATACAACATAAAATAGGCGTGTTAGGCAAATATATTGGGCGAACATTTTTGCGTATAAAGTGTGACAAAAAAGCTAAGTTCACCTCGCTTACGTGAGTAAGTCATGTAAGTCGTGTAAGTCATGTAAAGGTAACTCGAACCGAATTATAAATTTTATTTATATATAATTCGATAACAAAAACGTAAGGTGTTCATGAATACATCGAATCTTAATAAAGTGGATGATTCGATTATGTACTTATTGGTTTAATAAGAGAGAAAAATAACATAGCCTACGCCTATGTAAGCGTAAATGAAACTGAAACGATCAGTTGTCATACTTCATTAACACACAGACGGTGGCAGTCGTATGTATGACTGCCCGTTGTCTATAATTAGCATTATGCTTATATATGTATTAGGTTAACACTTTGATTTTTGGTTTTGTCAAGTCTTAGCCAAATAAAAGGTGGCTTAATTGGGCAGAATCAAGTTATTACTAAGAAACTTTATGTTATCATCAATTAAATGTGTTGTTGTTTTTATTTTTTATTTTTTCTTTGTTATTATTTGTTTTGGTTTTTATTTATTTATTATATACGTGTGTACGTATATATAAATATATAATTGAAATTGAAAAAAGAATTGAAAGAAAATGACATTTTTTTAATCGAAAATAAAAACAAGTTATTCATGTTGAAATTAAAACAATTTTTTATTTTAAAGTATTCATTTAATAAATTGAAGATTAACAGTTATAAATATGAAATGAAATAATACAAAAAAGAAAGAAAGAAAGAAAAAAAAAAAAAAAAAAAAAAAAGTCAGCAAAATATTAATAAAGAATACAGTCAAGCCGTTTGTTTATGAAATAAATTTTCAATTTAAAAAGAGAGATTCATTTTAGTTGAATAGAGAAAGATATACGTAATTGAAAACGTTATTCAAAAGGAAAGCTTGCTTTAATGTTTGTTTATTCGTTACTTTTTAATTTATGTATATTTAAGTAATCTCTGGTTTATCGGTTTTTGTTTTGTTTGTTTATTTGTTTTTTCATTTCTTTTGGAATTTTTTTTAATTTATTTATTTTTTTAATTAATTTATATTGAATAAAAACTATATATCATAATTAAAATGATGGCACATAAAAGACAGAAATGATCACCAAGATGAAGTTTAACGTGCATACGCCCGATTAAGGCTTTCAATTATTTCGTTTCTGTAGGGGAAGGCAAAAAAAAAAAAAAGAGTTCACATAAAATAAGTAGCAAACATGGAATGGGTGACAAGTTAGATAGAATTAAGAGAGAGAGAGAGAGAGAGAGAGAGAGAGAGAGAGAGAGAGAGAGAGAGAGAGAGAGAGAGAGATTTCTTTTTTTTTGCATAATTAATTAACAATCCATTTGTAGGTAAAACAAGATTTTCTGATGCAATGAATATGATATTAAGGAGTTTCGAAGGGAAAGCATAACAATATATATATATATATATATATATATATATATTGCAATACAGGAACTGTATTGTACTTAAGTAGAAAAGTATGAAAATCGTGATAGAAGAAGAGAAAGACGAATAGAACGATAGGTACAAGATAGGTACAGGAGCTTTAAAAAGGTTACAATGTTTACTTTTTAGATTTATAGATCAATTTATAAAGCTAACTAGTTTTCTTTTATTATTTTTTTTTTCTTTTCTCTTTTTTTTTTTTTTTATTACTATTAAAAGATTGGTTTTCAGATTTATGAAAAATTTGTAGATTTGGTTTTCTTTTAAAGTATTAACGTGTTTTGTTTTTCTCTTTCTTCATTATTTTTTTTTTTTTTTTTTTTTTTTTTTTTTTTTTTTTTTTTAATTCAATTTACTTCGATTGCATTTAATGTTTAAGTATTTATTTTTAAAAGTAATTAATTTTTCTTTTATCATTATTCACTAGTTTTAAAGAAAAACCCATTCGTTTCGCTGCTTATATAAATCGCTTTTTTACTTTTTACTTATTACGTTTTTTTTCTTTTTTTTTTCATAGAAAATAGATTTGTTTTTTTTTTTTTTTGTTTGGATTTTTAGTTTAGTTCAACTTAAACTGATAGGAAACTTAATCAAACAGCAACATGAGCCTCAAGGGTTTATAAAACAATTTTGGTTGTTTTCTTTTCTTTTTGTTTAAATTTTGATTGTGTTTTTGTTTTTCATCCATACATCGCATACACAATCATACTCATCCGACCATTCACCCATAAAAAGCTTAATGATTTTTGTAATTTAAAACAATAGAAAAGAAAGAATATAAATACATAACAAGGATGTGCTTAAAAAGTTTTAAAGTAAACGTTAAAGGATTTCTTGTTTTTTTTTTTTTTTTTTTTTTTTTTGTTTTTCTTTTCTTTTTTTGGTTTTGCTCTGGCATTCAGTTTGCTTTTAAATCGTAAACTAACAAAATGTACTTGTTAACCGTATAGTAAGATATTTATTGACTTAGAATTATCCATTGATTGCATTTGCATTGGCATTTGCATTGGCGTTGGCATTGGCCGTGGCAGCTGCTGCCTGTGACAATGACTTTTGATCCTCCTCGGAGGGTGAGGGTGTGGCATCTCGTCTCGGTGGCATACGTTCATTGACCGCATCCAAACCTTTGGCCTCGGCAAATGAGGTGATCTTATGATTTGGCGAAAAGCCTTGCATGGCATTTTTCAAGGATTGTTTGCCGCCGGATAGCGCACCCAAAGGTAACGCCCCGGTAGGTGTGAGACCTTTGAGCTGTAGCACTGATTCGGATTCCTCGCGCAATACTGAGAAGACACGTGCCATTTTGCCAATGGCTCGTATCTTATTGCGTATAACTTCCTTACGCAAAGCCGCCTCATCATCAGAGCCTGGCTCCTCGTTTTCTTCGGTCATAAGTTCATCGTCTGAGCATATGTTCAAGACATTAACTAACATTTCCGTAACTTTCTCGCCCACAAACGGTAATGACCAGGTGAACACATCCATAAAATTGGGAAGCCAATACGGATGAGGTGAACAATTAAACTGACGTATATTCATGACATTGTTCTCATATTTGAGCACGGCCGCCTTATTATTATACACATCTAAATAGTTGGGTGCCGAAAATATCGTTATCAATGAAGGGAAGCCGGTGGTTTGGCTTTTGCGGTACATACGATAGCCGGCGTCCTGCGCCTCGTGAGCCCTTATTATGGAAAGCAGATTGTTGTTCTGCAGGAAATCGCAACAAGCCGCGTAACTGTAAAAGTACGAACACCCGCGCACCGAATTGTGCGTATAAAAGTCCGAATTTTTCTCATTACCGAAATCTTCTAGCGGATCCGACCATAACAAATCGCACATTGGCCCAAATGCGGGCGGTTCTTTGAAACGATCTAAACGCCTTATATCTTCCAATTCATGCACCTCAGGCGATAATCCACCATGTACACATAGAAATTGCTGATTCATTAGAGCCGCCAGCGGCAAGCAATCGAATGCATCCATACAGGCATCATAAACGCGTTCCGAGTACTTAATTTTGCACTCTTGCTTAAACGTAAAATACTCCGTTAGATGGCGACACTCATGATTGCCGCGCAATAAAAATAATGTATTTGGATAAGTAATCTTCAGCGACCAAAGATATAAAACGCATTCAATGCTAAAATAGCCCCGATCCACGTAATCACCCAAAAATAGATATTTCGTGCTGGCCGGTGAGCCACCGATTTCAAAAAGTTTCATCAAATCATAAAACTGACCGTGTATATCACCGCATACGGTGACCGGGGCTTCGATATCGATCATAGTTTTCTCCTGACGTAATAGTGCTGCACCCTCATGTATAATACGCAAGGCAGCTGCTTCCTCTATACGACCCTCCAATATAAAATGCTGTTTAAGTACATCATGATGCGGTTTACCAGTGCGCGCATCAAATACATCGTTTACTGTTAATTTACGTGCCGGCGGAAAGGGTACACTATCGATGACGCGCTCTTTGGTATTTAAAGGTGGTTTCTTGGTGGGACTTTGATGAGCATTAGTCCCGCCTCCACCGCCGCCACCACCTGCACTGCCAGTAGCAGTGCCTGTTTTGTTAGCGGTTGCTGACTTGTCATGTGTACCGTTATTATTATTAGTTGTCGCCGATCCCTGATGGTGCGGAGACTTTTGATTTTGACTTGGTGGATGCTGTTGTGTTGCCGACGAAGACATAATAATCTCTTTTATTTTGTTTCAATTATTCTTGATATATATATATATATAATGAATTTTCCCTCTATAATCTCTCTAACGTCGAACGTATAAGGAAATTTAATTTCGTTTTCTTCTTCTTATTCTTCTTCTTAATTCTTTATTGCTCTCAACTTGTTGTTTCTTTATATAATTTGGCTACAACTTGAGCTATTTTCTTTCTTCCTTGATTTGTTTTTACTTTGCTTTTAATATCTAATAATATATAGGGTATGCTTGCGTACGTGTGGTGGATTAATTGGTGGCGATGTGATTTAAGGCGTTTCCGTCTTATCACCCCGTTATAAAAACGACCGAATAGTTGAATCTATTTACTGCCCTTTGAGCTCCTTTACTTACTTAATTGTTCTTCTTTTTCTTCTTCTTCTTCTTCTTACCAATAATAATACAGTATATTTAAGAGTACGTCACAGTGACCTGTAATGAATGCAATTTAATCAGTCCTTGTTAAAATCTTTTTATTTCACAAAGCATAAACCATAAACCATAACATAATTTATTAAAGATTTTACATATAACATAGAACATAGAAAGTCGATTTGCATAAATATTGTGATGATGCTTATCATTATATTAGGGCGAGTTATAAGTAACTTCATTAAATAACAAAATTATATTAAATTAATAGTTCATTGTAAGGTACTCAACCTTTTTTGTTTGGGGTGGATTTTGCTCCAGGATTGCCTATAAAAAGTTGAAGTCAAAGTCGGAGGGACAACCCGCCGCCTTTTAAGGTTACACCTTCAGAACGGAATTTCACAAACCAATTTCTAACTAACCCAAATCAATTATCAATTCCAGTTCACCGTGTACGCTACACATTTTTTCAGCTGTCTTCGCCTTAGCGCTATTGCCTTGTTTGAATTCGCAAAGCATTACTTGTTGAATATACAACTTTTTTCTTGACATGTACCACGCACCATATAAAACAGTTCGAGTGAATGGTGAAAACAAAAACTCGTTTATTTCGGTGACTTATTGTTGGTGACAATACGAACAATAGACTCTATCTACCAGCATCGGAAGTAACTTATGATTCGACCTAATATTTTAATAGGATTTTCTAAATTCTTTAAATGAAATATTCTGATTCTGTTTAAAGACATTTATTGTTTAAAAATGATCACAAGCTAATATGTACGGTATGCACATCTATAAGTCCTCGATATATTCGAAATATTGAAAAACTATATTGTTATACAATTTTGGCGATACGTTGTAAAGTAACGTGCATACTAACTGCTAGTCTACATATATATGTATATATATATATATATATATCTGATTAAATGAATTCAAGTTTGGATATTTTACGAAAACATATTGACCTCGCGTTGTCTCTGACACCGTTAGAACACCGATTCTGATTGATATAAGAAATTAGTTGCGTTTTCCATTTTGCTTAAGTCATTTCGACTTTCTACAGACCCACCGTAACGAATGCATTCAATTTGTTATATGAAATTTTTGAAAACGCTTAGAAATATTAGGTATTTGCAAGAATTTTGATCACTGTTTCACTTGAAAAAGGCATTTATTGTTGAAAATTGGTACAAAATAAATAAATCAAAATAGTTTCCATCATTTTGTACCAAATTTTCCAATACTTTTGACAACACGGCGATATCGTGTCGAAAGAACTTATATTGATTTAAGAGTGATCCATCCACCGACCCATCTTTGTACTTCTTCCCCAACTTTGCGAACCTGCATGCCAGCCAAGTCGTACTTTATCGATCTGAGCAAGTGGTAATTAGGCGGCGCCATATCTGGGCAGTACGCTGGGTGTGGGCGAACTTCGCTTTCGAGCTGCAACAGTGTACACTGTACAGCTGTTGTAAAAATGACATTTTCAGGCAATTGGTGTCGCCAATTTTACACTGTTGCAACCAAAATCGGCAAATGGAGATATGATGGAACAACATAATCATAAGCCTCTGAACGTGTTTGGCGGTCATCGGCAGCCACCTCTTCTTAAATCGCCAAGCAAAAATCTTGTACTTACACTATTCAATTTCTTGTATGACGGCAATGTTCTAAGCTTCACATAACTCTCACATCTGCATAGTTGCACATAGATAATGCACAATAGTACGTGTAGCATGTGTGTTTATAATATATTCGCATTTTCAATAGATGTGTATAGAAAACATGTAAATTTTACCTCGGACGGGGCTTTGGCCTTCGTTGCTACTAGTGCTCCGTTTCTTGAAGTTTTATTAAAATTAATACGGGATAAGGGAATGATTTCCCCACAGAAAGAAGTAAGAAAAGAGAAAGAGATAGAGATAGAGAAATAGACGGAAAATGAATCACTCGCTGTAGCTACAATCAAAGTAAAGTCTAGCGCACGTGAAATTTGAATCAGCGATTACTGAGTAGGGTCTTGTACGCCTTAGGCTGATTGTTGTGTTGAAAGCACAATTGCCATTCTAAAGTTGCCTGAGTTTTTTCGCTTTTATTCTCTTAAGAGTATTTGTGAAAATCTGACTTAATGCATCTAAGATTCGCTTAACGTTAACGTAAATCTCTCCGTGGGAAGGAGAATTTTTCCTTATCACGTATGCTATTAGTAATTGTGTATGCTGCCTATAGTAAGGTTATAATGTAATAGCAACACTATTTGTATGTAATATATATAATAAATATGTGTGTATGTTTATAAGCAATTAGTTGATGCTTACAACGGTGACTTCAACCATTTAATATATTTTTAAAGTAAAAAAATTAGGTCACCTTCATAATCATCGGTCAATTTCACAGAGTGTAAACGTTCACGCGCATATAAAGCTTATATAGAGCGATTGCTTGCATTTAAAAAAGTGAAAGAACTATTATTAAACTATGAACTTAATTAAAAGTCAGGGGAATAGGAACAGGTACGCACGTAATGTAATGTAATGTCATCGATAAGTTTGAGCCTAAGTATAGTAAGTATTTTTCCATATTTTAATGACTTTCTTTTTCAAGGTTCTTTTAATAATCACCTCAAACAGTTTGCTTCATTAAATGCTTAATTATTATTAAAATTAATTGCTTTCTTCCCTCGCATAAACACACACAAACACAAACACAAACACACATCTAAATATTTATATGAATATATCAAAGTTAAGGCGAAGACTTCATCCATGCGGTGCCAGTCACACTAACCTCAACAACAACAATAATAATAATAACATTTTTACATATCTGCATATGTATGTATGCAATCAGCCCATCTGCTTCATTTTCTATGCCTTGACTTTCGTTGCACACACAACGTATTTATGATTATGAATAAAGTAGAAAATATATGGAAAAAAAAAAAAAAAAAAACACTGACACACGCACTTATATGAACATGTTTCCGTTCCCTTCCATCAGCATACTTATGTCACAGAATTTCATACTAAAACGAACCCAGACAAGGCAACTTCCAACTATAAAAAAAGTCAGTAGCACCAGCACTAGCACCAGCAACAACAGCAACAACAACAGCAACAACAATGAATACCAATTACAAAAAAGTTTTAAAGAATATATGTTTTCGAGAGTACATGGGAAAAGTTATTGTATACATTATTATATACATGCGATATGTTAAGTTAACGATATGAACAATTAGACAAGTGTCGTCGCTCAAAAAAGTGAAAGTTTATAAACTAACAGAGGTAAGCAAAAAAGTTACGCTCGACTTTGGGACAAACTTTTGATATCCATCATCGCTATCTCAAACTAATGCATTATAAGTAAAAATAATCAAAAAAATATTTTGTTAGAATACGGGCGCGCGTCAATTACTCTATCAGAGTCGTCGTTATTCAGGCAGTAAAGTTTCCTCACTCTGTAAACGATCTTTTCAACATGCGTATATGCATATAGAACCGTTTTAGTCTTGCAGCATGCTCGGAAACAAAGACTGAATAGCTCTGGCTTTGATAATTCATGAGACAATAACGGGACGAAATTAGGGTGGGGTACTGGCGAAATCTAGCTAGAGCTTTCACTTTTTTTTCTGATACCACGAGTGGTGCTGGTGGTGGGCATATTCTTTGCCATAAATTCTCGCGTTCTTTAGTGACCCGATCTGTGTGCAACGTAACACTATGACCACACTAATTCCACTTATTAGTTTTCGATGTCACGATCAAACCTTATCTTTTAGATCATTCTCGAATGTAAGTAAGTCTGATCAGAGGCTTTATTTTTCTTTTCTGCTTTTCTTTACTATGCGATTGGTCAGATCTCATCGATCTCGATTTGCATTAAAACTGAACGATGGAGCAGAGGGAGGGACAGGTATACATAACAGCCTGCAACTAATCATGTCCAGGGTGATGAGTGGCATTTTCTCATACCCTGTGCAATCGAGCAACGTTAGTTTAAGACTCCACAGCATGAACCCACGTTGAACATATAAAAAAAAAGAAAATCTCCTCTTTAAACTATTAAAACATTCTGAATTGTACGCTACGACTGAACGACCCTAGCATCAATCTTGCCTGAAAAACTTTTGAACCTCGTTATTCCAGAATCGATTGGTCGTAGTCTTGCTGAATGTCATCTCGTTACCATCGACTGTCGACGTGGTGTAATGCGAAAACTTAGATGAAAAGTCCAGCTTAGATTGTAATGAACACAAGCCGACCGCTCGACAGTTAGCAGATTCCCCAATAAATTATCCTATTCCACGCAATGCATTCGTGTCTTCTCGTTGTTTTCTTTTGTCCATCTCGTGATTTCATGCAATTGTTTACGTGCAAACCTCTGCAAAAATCCACAAACCGTTATTTTTTTCAAATTTTTTCCGCACTTGTTCTACGTTCAAGATTGAAAAGGTCAGCTTGCTGATCAAATTTTAGAGTGGCTTCACCTATCTTTTCGCAAAAGTGGAAAACGGATAGTAACCATAAAGAGGATTAACGAGTACGATTGAAATGTGTTTCCATTAAACCATTCACAAGAGCATGATGAGAAGGTTTCCGATCGATTGGCTAATAAAAATGTGTTTGAAATTATTCCTAGTTAGACGTACAAACAAACATAGATACACGTTAATACGTACTAAGAAGGGTGTTTCGTTTAACTTGATCAACTCGTGCGGACAGTTTACATTAACGATTTTTGAAATGCGATAATTTAACTGAAAGGCTTCATCTCGTTTACTTAGTAAAGTCAACGCATTTGCAAAAAACGTTAATATATTCAGCAGATTCGGTAATGGATGCAATTAAAAAAAAAAAAAAAAACATGAAACTTTCTCTCGGTATAACAATAACGCTAATAAATCGATTTCTGTCATATGCCGGATTTCATATACAGATGTACAAATGCACACATCACTTGACAAACATTCGCATAATTTGAACTTCTAATCACCCTACTAAAATAAAAGTGCAATAGATTCGTTCGTATTTTTGTAAACAGCGATCGTTCGTTATTTCAACTAGCAGCAGGTTGCTGCGCGTGTGAGAATCGGTTTGCTTTCACTTTTCATTTCAATCAAAACCTTTTTTCACAAAAGCCCGCAAAATCAATAATAAAAAAAAACAAAACAAGGAAAATATTAAATGTTTTCGTTGGTTAAATCGCATTGTCACTCTTTACAGTGTGCAGAATAATCAAGCGAAAATCTGCTGTGAAAATTGGCCCTCTAATGGGAAAGGCCTATCCGATATTTATACAGATTTTGCGTAAACTGTGGTCATCACTAAAACGGAAAATAAATGTTGACTTAATAATTACATGAAGATCTTGGAAATTGAACGGAGGAGCATTATAAAAGTCATCGATACCTAGATCTGATTTTTAAGGGGAATCCCCTCTTACGTATTGTGTAGACCTTTCAACATTGCAATGGAATTCTACTTCTTTAAGGAAAACCTTACGACTGAAGGTGCTTACAAGGTTAAATCGTGCAATCCTAATAGGGCTACCGAAGCAAGTGCTTGCAAGGTTAAAAAGTGCATTCTTAACAAAGATGCCGATGCAAGGTTGAAAACTGCATTTCTTACAGGGATACCGAAGCAAGTGCTTGCAGGGTTAAAACGTGCAGGGATACCGAAGCAAATTACAAATCGAAACACTGCCCCGTTAAAAAGAATTTCAAGGTTTAATAATTATGTAGGAATCAAAACTGCAGGACTTCTTTTGATTTTACAAATAGTTATAAGTTATTCCATAAGTTATTCGACTAACTTGCCGAGTAGGCAAGAATCTCGACTAGCAACTTCATTGGTCGTGGGTTCAAATTTCAAGTGCGGTAGAGTTTTTAATAAAGCCGAACGCCTTAGATGCTAGTGCTTTCAAGACTTTATTCTTAGAATCTATTCTCTGGCTAAATTTATAATAATAATACTAAGTTATTCCTATATATTAAAAGTAGGATAAGTGTATTTTACTTCGTCCTCGCAAGCAGTTTGTAATACGTACGAACGGAATGGAATGGGAATAAGTTAGCTAACATACTTCGAATGTGATCAACTAAGCGATTGGCAAAGCCAAGTCCATTCCGAGCAGAGACATAGTCGTTTTTCTTCTGAACTGGATCGAATCGCCGGATAGGTTAACACTCCATCGTTCAAAATAAAATCCGTCATCATCCGCTAGCTGCCGAATTAGGCATATTTTAAAGGAAAACCGTCGACGGCCGCTGACGATAGTTCATTTATGTTAAGTACAGACATTTCCATTGTAATTTTTAGCCGCTAGGTCCTTTCTTTATTATTCGAAATATGTATTTGGGTTAGTGACATAAATGACTTAATGAATGGATATTGAATTATAACGCCAAGAGATATTAGGATTTTTATTTAGGCGAAGGTAAGGACGTCTGAAATAGCCGTCGGGGCGTATTTTATTGAAAGAGCAACATTTTCCGGAGCAAAGAAAAAAATTTTACTTCTCATAACTATCGTATGCTATTGTATTGACGTTCGCGTTTGTAATGAGAATCTTTCACGGACTTTAACGGGTCGTCCAAACTCAATAGCTTCAATTTCCCTTTCCTTTTCATCTATCGGGATATAATTGCGGTATATGGAATCTTTTGTGTTAATACTCAGTTCAATTAATGCGCATAAGTGAAACATGAAGATCTAAATAGAGGAGTAGTTGGAAATAAGCTTTCGACAATTCGGGGATATGAAGTTTTCATGTCAGTCAATCGCAATATTGATATACGTATATTGCGTAATTGGAAAATTTCTTGCGATTTTATTGCGAATAATATTTCACCAAACAAGTTTGTCAGCCATCTGCCAACGAATGTCGGCGTGTCAATCAGCTTTACGTTGGTCGTCATCAAGCGTATTTGGCCTAACAGAATGCGGTAACGCGTTCACGGAAAATTTCACCAATTTTGGCAAATGCTTTCTGCTACAACATTAGTTCCACACACAGCACATATACTTCTGGATGTTTTTGTAGCTCTCTTCGCTTTTTCGAATTAAAAAACAAAGTAAAATGTGTCTTACATGTTCACTTCTTACTTACATCGTCACTACTATATAAATTTAAGCCGATCACTTTGTAAGTTTTTTTGCAAAATAAACATTAGTCCGAGCTACATGCATACCTTTAACCTTAATTATCTGGGTAACTCGCTGGAAAATGTTATTTTTATCTGGTATCGGGAAAACCGAGCAAAAAAGTCCCCAAATAAATAAACAATGAGATGACATGACCTGCAAGACGTTCGAACTTTTTATTTTAATATTACCTTCGGACACATAAGATGAAATCGATTTCTCTAGGTGAAGAGGTGCGCCGGTAACTCTTTTTGAAAGTGCAATGTGTTCAGGATTGTCGTGCTTAAAGCACGAAGAAATTGCTGTTGCTGGCGAAGAAAAATTTCGATCACACTTTTCAAGCCACTTGCTAAGTTCGAACATTATTTTATATTTTTGAAAAACAAAGAAAAAGAAAAAAAATTGGATTGGATTGATAATAATAAAAGTAACGCCCACCCAAAGTCGCTGTACGTTGTAAACAAAGGATTTTCAGTTTCGAAAAATAATATGAAACACTTTTCGTTAGAGAGGAACATCCTGCATCCTGTCAGTCCTTGAAATCGTTGAACTTGAAATTTTAAAAGAATTGAACTTATTATCAGAATTCTCATAGAATTCGTAAAAAATGACGTAATAAAATTGAAATTTGCCGCGAATGCTACAATTGTCAATCGCATCGGGAATTGCATATCTAATGTACATAGACTTTCTGTCTGTCCATCTATCTAATTCCCAACTAAAATTCCAAAAATTTATAAAAAATGAAACGTTACATATAAATATATTGAACAGACAAAGTTTAATAGCGAACTAAATTTATCAAACAACACACCCACAGCTCGTCATGCCACTTGCAGTGTGCATGAAAGATTTTATAAACTATACGTATGCACCCATCATAAGAATGCAAATTTTTCAATTAAAGAAGATTTCGATGCAGACATCTGTTCGTCTATTTGAAGCTTCCACCGAAGCCCGATACTTGGCATTTGTGTTCTTTTTTACTTTTTTTCTTTGTTTATTATTCACCGAAACAAATTTCCGTGTAGCCGTGATTCTCTTACAGAAAGCGAACAATCGATCCCAATACGTGTCCGAATTCGTGCGGCGAATACTGCAATTAAGGCAATTCTGCAATCAAACAACATTTCGTATCCCACTACCTCCGCTTATAAACATTTGCATATTTACCGATTGTGAACGATTTTCAGCCGTCCATCCGGATGTTTCTTCTTTGCTCCCATTAAAAGTTATATAAAACAAAATGCGTTTCGATATAAATGTCTTATAATATATGACAATCAATTAAGAACGCAAAAGGTTCTAAATTCTAAATTTTTACCTGCGTTTTTTCTCTACGGGGAAATTCTTAGACGACAAGGTAAAGACTAATCAAGATGAATAAATTAATTTAACAAACTTTATATAAAGTTCTTTATACATATCATGCGAAAGCAGAACGAGTTGACGGGTATCTAAAGTTCGTTTTCGAAAGCAGCTTTCGTTGCTTCGTATCGTTTAAGCTAATATAGTGTAGATGGTTATGCATGTATCTGTACTTTAAGCAAATTTTAATAATATTTTTTTCATTCCATCTTTTTTTTTTTCTCTTTTCTTTTTGTTTTTTTTTTTTTTTCTTTTAATATTTTTCTTTCTTGAATAAGAGCCAATTTTCAAAAATTTTTTCATATTATTTTACAAACACCTGTAATACTTGGGTTTATTCGAACAATTGTTATTGCACACATTGAACTGTTGGCCGAGGTAAGATGTCGCAATTATTTGCATGCATTCATTTAATTACCCCGTATACGTGTATGTATTTAAGTTTTTGTATAGATAACAAGTGGGAAAATTGAATTCGATCGAAACCGAATCTTTCATACCCATCACCGTTTGTTTTTACCCCAAGAAAAGACAAAAAAAGAAGCAAAAGCACGAAATTCTCATGCTCTCTATAATACGGAGTGAGTGCAGTCGATTTCTTCTGTTTTCAAAATAAAAATTGTTTTCGCATAGGCATGTGGGCGTTGTAGGTGTGTCCTTTGAAAAGTTTAGCTCAATTCCAAATTCTTTTGCATCTCTTTACTTTCGCTGACGAGACGTTGCTTAACACAAATACTACAAAGTTGCGCAAACAGATCGATAGACAGACGAACAGGCTGAAATGTTAGGTGCGTTTTAGATTTAAAACTGGCCAAGAATTTCTATACTATATGGTGTTTATGAAGCTTGTTTCTACGCATTGTAAAGATATTGAAAAAATAATTAAATTTTTATACACTATAATATTGGGTAGGCGTGATCAATTTTTTCCATTTTTGTGCTCGAGTATTACAGCATCGCCCCTAGAATATGCGCTCGAATTTTTTGCGTACATTTATCTCTTCTAGCTTATGAGTAATGTGCAAAAGACCAATTTTTCATTCCATTTAAAAAACAGAGGTTTTCTCAGTTTACGTGATGTTGTGGGCGTGTTCTTCGATCGATTTGGCCCATTTTCATTAACAACCCGCGTGCAAGAATTTCCAATGTTTCTGCCCAAATTGAAGGCGATAGCTTCATTTTTGTGACCAGAAGAATATTTACAACAGACGGACATACGAACATGCTTAAATCGATTTACGATTTGATACTGATCAAGAATATATATATTTAAGGGGTCCTTGATGCTTCCTTCTGGGCGTTGCGAACATTTTGACAAAATGAATATACCTATCATTCTTCGGTGATGAGTGTAAAAAGACAGCATATGCATGCATGTAACATGCATATATATATATTTTGTATATGTATAGATAGTGATGGCAGACAATCCATCAGATATTTGCGGTGATGCTAATGAAATATAATATTTAAGAATTTTTGTTTGCTTGCATTGTATTTATTTTGCATTTCGTTTGATTACTTGTATGTGTTGGACAGATATTATATTATTAATTGCTTTTTTAATTTATTTTTAGTTAACTGTTGAGCACCGTATTTAATTCTAAAAAAAAAAAAAAAAAAAAAAAAAAAAAAAAAAAATTAATATTAAGAAGTCCCTTGTGATTAAAAGCGTAACGTAGGTGTAGGTGTGTGCAGACATTATTTACACACACACACACATATATATACACGCATATATTACAATATAATGAAATGAAACAATTATAATAATGTAAACCTTTTTAATGTTAAGCAAACAGAAAGTGTGACAGGTGTGTTAGTTAATACATGTTTACACAACATCCCCTCATTTTGTGTCTTTGTGTTGACGCTTTTAATGAATAATTGAAAATATGCAATAGAGCGTTGAAATAAACTAATTAAGGGAGAGAACACATAACATAAGGAAATTTTCTTGCAAATTTACTGTCTACTGCTAATTTGTTTAGAATGATGAATAATAGAAGTATCACCTATATATCAGTTTTAGTCACACCCACGCTACACTTTCCGTATTCCGTAATATGTGTTCCGCTGGCGGTGGTGAGAATAGTAATCTCAACGATTTCTTCTCTAATATAACGAAAAATCTGTGTTAATTGTTCTTTTTCCTTTCTTTCTCTCTCCCTCTCTCTCTCTCTCTCGCTGTCGCTGCATCTACCATCATTTCTTTTCCTTCTCCAATAGAAATTATAACGGTAATATTATTCATTTGAGCGATGCCTGAAGAAAAACATTGCAAATATATCCAAAGGAATCATATATATATATGCATATGCGTACACACACACATACATATATATATATATATATATATATATATATATATATAGATTGTTGTGTGTGTATATGTTCATGTATACACACAATGTTGCATACAGGTTGACTTAATTTTATGGGTCAATGATTTCGTGAAAAGGGAAGAAAATTATTTAGTACATAAACGCGCGAGGAAAAACAACATGGAAAAAGAGCCGACTGTTGCTAATATTGAGTTGGCTTTCGTGATGAGATGAATGTTGGGGTGCTGCCTCGCATTGTGCTCTTTTCATACGTTAAGCAGTGACAAAAAGAGAGAGCCAGAGAGAGAGCGCGAGCGAAAGGAAGATAGATAATAGAAAAGGAGGGTGTCCAAACGTAGGCGATGGAAATACAGCAGCTGATTTTGAACAGAACCAAATAAATGGAAAAACTGGCACAATTACCTGCAACACCTTCTTAACCTAAACGAACGAGCTGTCTGACAGATATGTAGGAAGAAGGCACAAGCAAGCAAACACAAAATAAATAAATAAAGTAAAAAAAAAAAAAAACAACTTGCGCGCACTCACAAGCAGACACACACACACACACACATTGATTAAACACCGATATCCCCGAGATTTATCCACATGCACTCGTTTGGTTGGTAAAATATATTTTTATTTTTTTTTTTGATTTCTATGAAGGAAAAAATAAGACTTACTACAAGATATATCTTTCGTTTACGCGAAATAAACATTTAGTGAAATAATGGATTTAGATTTTTGTTGCTTGTAATACAAAATTATACTGAGAATATAAATCGGAACAATTATTTTTAAAACAGATGAAACCGCGCACTTGTTTTGTATGCTACGCTATGAAAGTTTCAAATAAAACGACCCTCCGAAGAAGACTCCTGACCGATTGAAGCAATTGTGCGCTGACTGCTGTTGCTTTTTCTTCATACTCACAAAATCTCCGCCGTCGATTATTTTTAGCGCTGTCGACGTCGCAGTTTTTCCTCGTATCTTGATATCTACCTCTTTGATAGATTCCCCTCAGGTCTCTCCCCTTCCTAAACACACACACACATACACATACACAAACGCACACTTTTTCTTTTTTGTTACCATACAATAATCTTTAGAGTTATAAAAATTGAATATACATATATATATATATAGATACGTACATGTATATATATATATATATATATATATATATATATATATATGTATCCCCCTCTGATGACTTTTTAATATGTACTTAAATGAGGGAAAATTTTTGTGAATTAATAGTTTAATTAAAACACTTCTACTTATTATGCATATATATGTATACATACATATGCTTTTTCTATATACACATATACTCACAGAATGGTTCCCGTTAAAGAATTTAAATAAAAAGTAAAAGAAATGTGCATTTGTTTTCTTTCTTTTTCTTTTTATTAATAATTTTCAAACACACGTTTACTTTAATTCTTTATGTAAACAATTGCTTCTCTTTGGCTCGTTTGTGATTTCCTGCCTTTGTAAATCTTTACCGTACGAATAAAAGATAAAATGTAATAATAATTCAGATAATTCAGTGTTACAATAATGAAATTTAAGTAAATATTTCTGTTTCTAATTAAAATTCACAGCGCACACTTGTTATTGCTTGCTCCTGGTTGTTAGTTGTATTTGTACTTTTTCTTTTTTTTTTTTAGGGAGAGCTCAGCTGCGTAGACGCTTCTTTACGGATAAATAAATTCCTTCTCACTCATTCACCAATAAACAGTAAAAATATCTACTTTGGGACCTATGCTTCCTCTTATTTAAAATGTTCGATTTTATATATTCTTTTTTCTTCTTGTTGCTCTTTTTTTTCCTTTTTTTTCTGCTACGGTCACTATTCACTTTTTTCTGTATATATTTGATTAAAAAATTTTTCTTTTTTATTAAAATAATTTACTCACATATATCACCGATCGTTTATTGTTTGTAGTTTTGCTTATTTTAAGTAATAAATTTTTCCAAGAAACACCGTTTTTTTTCTCTTTTCTACCTGTGCAACCAAAAAACAAAAACCGAAAAATGTACTGTCCTCCGACTTATGATGACTAATTTTTTCATTTAGTCAAGTTGCGAAAACTGACATATGTACGGCATGAGGGATTGTAATGTGCTGCACGAGACGTTCTCTTTCTGATTGGTGCTCTCTTTGGACTAATTGGAGCATTTTCGAAAAATTTATTTGCACAATACAATTGGAATAGGAATAAAAAAATTGGGTAAATGTTTTTGTTCTTATACCCACCACAGGAATAATAAGTGCGTGAAAATACGCATCAATGTCAATATATTCGAAAAATTACCTCAACACAGTGCTTGCGTTATATGTTGTGCGTCACGTAAACTTAAGCACATAGCTTGTAGCATGTAAAGCAAAACCACATCTATTGCGTTTGCTCGCATTAAGGTTGATGATGTGAAAAATTTCTTTGAAAACAATTTTTTTTTCATTTTCTTAATTGTATTTTGTTTCAAGAAAAAAAAAATTGTTGTCGCATAGAAATAAATAGCAATACACTTTAGTTTAATGTTTTCTTCTCATTTTAATAAAAATTCAAATAATATAAGTTGATGTTTATTTTGCTTTCTTAAGTACACGAAGATGCACGCCGAAATTCACGCATAACGCAACGCAAGGTTTATAATGATCTACATATAAAGGTACAAAATCCGTTTTATTTTTTCAGCTCGTCCGCAACGGACACAGCAATAACGCAAGCATTGTATTTTCCCCCTAAACCAGTTAGCAAAAGAACAAATTTACTCGTCAAGTAAAGCCCTTGATGAAAAATTTAATCTTCCACTTGACAGGAATGTTAGATTAGGCACATTGTTCTTTTTTTTCTGTAGATGAAACTTATAAATATTTATTCAAAGCAATTTAAGATATACCATTTGATTAAGTAAAACAAATTATTGTAAGGTAGTTTATTAAGTATTAAAATGTAATCATCTCCTTTTCTTATTCGATTTAAAATTTGACATTTATACTTACCAATAATTTTTATACAATTTAAGCCGTATAATGTTATTCGCGTATTTAAGTTACTTGGTAGCCCTGGTGCGAGAGATGAATTTAAAAGAGCGTAGAAATATATTGAAATCAGCTTGCTTTTTCGAAAATGAGAGAATTTTTGCTTTTGAAGGGCATTGCCAGCAGAAATTTTGTTTTTTTGTTTTTTTGCCTAATAGCAATGAAAATAGGACGCACAAGAATAAAACTAGGACAATGAAAAATGAGTTTAATTGGCCAGAAAATTATCGATTTTTTTTTCGCATCACTTGTAGAAAACAGTTGGTTTTATCTAATGGTGGTGGTAAAAACTAGTTATGTTTAGAATATATGAAATAGAAAAACTAAGGTGAGTTTTCCGTGTCAGCAATTATAAAATAAATTTATGAAAATGAAAGTAAATCATGGAGTACTCATTTTTATTGTTTAGATGAGGGCTTTAAACGATTCTTAGTTTAATCAAAACAATACAGGAACATGAAGGAGGTTCTTAGTTTAATCACTACAATATGGGAACATGAAATAGAAAAGCTAGTTAGTTGGCAATAAAATTTTATTACAGAGTTGCTTCAATATTAGTAAGCCATTAAATATAATTTCTGAATTAAAGTTTCGTTAAAAATTAGAATATATAACTGAATTATGAGATCATTTACAAAACTAAAACTATGAGCGTAATTTTAACAGTTGATTAAGCTATTGTTAAACATCCTAAATAAGCAACTCTGCACGTTAGCTGTATGCAGTTCAATGAGTAGAGTACAATAACTTTTACTAGGCATCATTTATGCAGTAATTGCTGTGATTATTATTGTAAAATTTTATTTATTCTCAGACAATTCATCGAATACTCTTTACATAGTATCATTTATTTAAGTATTTCTGGCATTATAAGTGTAAGATTTTGATTTTATTTGTGTTGCATGTCTAAGAAAGAGAAAAAGAAATAGTGAGAGAATGCCCACATTTTAACAATTGCTTAAATGTATGTAAATCTGAACATATTCTAGCTATTTTGGTTTTTTATGCCTACTTTTATATTTTAATCATTTTATAATAATAATAAATAATAAAATTATTATAAAAATTTTAAAATATATTTTTCTCTAGAGTACATAGTACTCAGAGTAGAACACAACATTTAATTAAAAATATTGATCATATTATTTTAAATACGCGTAAGCATAGAAACCAGATAAAATTTGATGCTGATGATGTTGATTCAAGAATATATATTGTGTGTGGGATCTTTCCCTTTGAGGGTTGCAAACATTTTAATAAATGAATATATTTCTCGTCTCTAGCTAAGAAAAAATTATTTTTCTCTTTGATTAGTTGCGAGTTGCAGTTGCGAGTTGCGAGCTGCGAGACAGTTTCTAAAGAGTAAAATTAACTCTGCCTGTATATTTTTATGAGTGCCCTTTTTGACTTTTCTGAGACTAAAATTTACTTTGGTGTGCATATGAAAAGATTCATGTTCGAGTTCGTGAACTGCATACATTTACAACACACACGTTCGAGTTCGTGAGTAGACGTTCAAAAATAACTTGTTCTGCTATGAAAATTCGTACATAATCTCTCTATTTCTCTTATTTTTCTTATTTTTTTTTGAACTTTTGAACGGTAAAGTTTTTGTTGTCGCGCGAGCTTGTGCGAGTTGTTGATAAAACGTCGAGTTGCTACGAGTCGCTTTTTTCTCTTCGAAAAAGTTAGTTAGAATTTTGTGTAAATTTCGTTCGTGTGTAGTTGTTATTGTCATAGATTGCGCGACTTATTCCATTTTTGTTTTGTTTGCCCGGCATTTTTTTCCTGTTTTGCTTGCTGTTCATCAAATATTTTGTGCTAATTAAATTTAATTAAAGAAAGAGTAGCACGTTTAAGTCAAAGTTTACCAATCTGAAAATGTTCTTATATATATTTAAGTTCAATTAAAAAGGGAAACAAAAAAAGTGTATAAGAAGTAAAAAAATTTAAAATGAAAAATGGAAAAGTAAATTAACAGGTTTCCTTGCGTCAGAATATTGTTTGAATGCGCTAAAAAATGTTACACTTGCCTCCTCACATCACTAACTCTCTTTTGCAAATATTGAAACTGAAAATTCCCAATTAGGAAAGTAAATAAGAGAGAAAGGGAGAAAGAAAGGAGCGATTATACACCAATACGTTAAAAAAAGAAAACAATAAAGTTAATACAGTTATATTCATATTCTTAAGCTGCGATCAATAATGTGAACAAAAGTAATCAATATTAAGCGGAGTTGGCAAAAATAATTCAAAATGTCATTCATTGTGCAATAGTACACGAATATAAAAAATGTATTTAATAAAGAAGAACATTATTTAATTAAGAAGATAATCATATAAATATATATATATATATATACATAAATTTACATATATATATATATATATAAATATATATATTTATATATCTTCTTTTTTTTTATAAATATTTTTGCCAAACAATTACATTGTTACAATTGTTATCTTTTCTTGATGTTAAACGGTGATGTTGTATTCAGTTTTTGTTATGTATTTACTGCCGCTGCTACTGCTGCTTATTAAATGGTTTTGCGTTTGTAAAGCACAACAATACAAGAATCCATATAAGAATATAATAATGAAAACGACAATAACAATAATGATAAAGACAACAAATCGCACTATATGAATAAAGAAAGCAACACGAAAGAAAATAGAAATTCAGCATATATATGAAATACGCAGAAATTCTTAGTTATATGCAAGTGTGCGTACAATCATAATTAATGACAAGATCAGTGTCAGGGTCTACATTAGTATAACATATGCAGCACAAGAACGTTCTTGAGAAATCATTGCAATAGCATAAAACAGCGCACAACATAATAAAACATTCGCGCGCACTCATATATATATATATATGTATATATACATATACAGGAATATATACATGTTCCTTTGCTGCGTGTAAGTATAAAAGTTATTTTGTGTTTTCTGCATTGGATGTCAGTGACCAAAAAAAAGAAAAGAAACAAAAAAGAAGTGACTTAATGTCAGTAACTAGCCGTGTCACATTAACTAAGATGCGTCGCTCGTCACTGAGTCGTAATCATTATTTTGTGATTGGTTTGGTGTTGGGTTTGCTATTGTCTCTATACATTCCCCAAGATTTATGGGAATTAGTGCAACAGGAAGAGTGTCCACAGCAAGCAGCCGAAATTAATTTAATCGAAAAATTCGGTCAAGAATTCGAGCCACATTTGAATTTAATTAATAAACCATTAGCAGCCAAAAAGCCGGTAAGCATTTTATATATACTCTTTCTCATTCTCTTTTATTTAACTTGTATATAATATTAACTGCGATATGTACGATTGCTATTGACACGACGGTATATTAACACTAAGCAAACAGGTCTCTGAATTTATTCTCTTTTGATACCCATTAATGGGATGAAAAATTCATTGACCCGAATCTAGTGAAAATTCGTTCAAAATTCATTTTAAAAAATGAATTTCAGATATTCAAGGTCTCGTGGCAGCATAGAAAAATTGTTAAGTATCTTATTATCCGGCCGACAAGAAATTTACTTTTCAACCTGTTATATATATATATGTGATCTACAGCAACGTTATTCGAACCGATTATTTGCATTTTTTTTTGCGGGTGTGAATATATATTATTTGTGATCATGGACCGACCAAAGACGAATATACCAAGTTTCAGCTAGGAGGCTTCCAAAATTGGCCAGACGCATTTACGATTTTTGGTATCTCTGTTGGTATATCTGTTACAGTCGAAATAATTAGTTCAGTATAAATCTTCGATAATGGATATATGAATGTCCGTGGGATCGCAGGCATTATACGTAACTTAAACAAGTAAGAAAATTATATACGGTCGTGACCGAATCTTTTATACCCTTCTTCGTGCGTGATGCAATAAACACGGGGAAAAAAAGTGTTTACAGTTTCTGTTACAAAAACATGTGGGCGTTGTAGGCGTGTGCTTTGGAACGTTTGCGTGCTTATGGGCGAGATCTCCACAAATACTACTTCAGTTGAGCAAAGTGAGAAATGGATAGATGAATAGACGGACATGCTTAGATGTATTACGAATTCGAAACTGACACACTAACAAATTAAGTACGCTTGGCCGATTTTTTTCAATTTATATAGAAGTACTACAGCATCATAGTACGTGACAGTTTTTGTAGAACCGCGGTGTCGTCATTTGGCGTGGTAGCGTAGCCGTGTCGTTTGACCGATTTGGCCCATTTTTAATGCCAACCTGCGTGCAAGAACTTTCAATGTTCTTACGAAATTTCAAGTCAATAGCTTCATCTTCGCGGTCGGGATATTGTTTACAACAGACGGACAGATGGACACGTTTAAATCGATTCAGAATTTCATGCTGATGAACAATATATACCTACTTTAGATTCTCTCTGAAGCTTCCTTCCGCACGTCGCAAACGTTTCGACAAAACGAATATACCCTTCATCCTTTGCCGACAGGTATTAAATAAAATATTGAGCTCAGTAAGCAGTCGGTAGCATTATTTGTTCACTTTGTTTGCATCAAGCATATCAAGCAAATGAATCTGCCATCTGCTATATTAAAACCAAATAACTTAATGCAAGTTAGCGGTTCATGTTAAAAACTTAATCGACATTAACCGATGGTAACATTTTTCAAGCGAAAGGTACGTCACATCATCAGGTTGTCTAGGGTGTTAAGTTCTCGACCCGACTGCCGGAATTTGTTCGCAATTGATTTGATTCATTTGCTTATTATTTATTCATTAATCCGAACAACTCACACGCCACTTGCTTATCTACTTATAAGGAGCACAATCTACCACAACTTTTTTTTTTTTTTTTTCATTTATATGTGTGCATAAGTATGTATTTGACATACATGTATTGATTACTAATATTTTGTTATCATTAACGGCAATTCGTTATTGCTGCTGTTAATTTGTAATTTGTTTATATTATTGTGTATTGATTATCTTGAAAGTCTAGCGGTGAGAGTGCTTTTTTCTAACTTCATAAGCCCTAAGTTGCACATGCGGAAAATTCATGGACGCGCACACATTCGCTCATAATTTTTCTTATAATTTTACGAGATTCAATGCGATTTTTATACCTAACATCGAAAGAACGCATAGTATATATATACTTGATCAGCAACAAATTTTAAATTAATTTAAACATGTCCGTCGGTCCATGTCCTGGCCATAAATAAGAAGACATTTACTCTAAATTTGGTAGAAATATTGAAAATTTCTTGCATGCATGCTGGTATTGAAAATGGACCAAATCGGTTGAAGGGCACATCTACAGTACTACGTAAAGTGAAGGCACGTCTGTCTTTCAAAAGGGATAAAAAATATGCTTTTTCCTCATTACTCATCAAAAACGTTAGATAAATCTACAAAAATAAATCAAGAAAATTGTGTTGCCTCTACAAAGAAGGAAACAATTGGCCACGCCTAATTAACTTTATAGTGCGTTCATATCATTTTCAAAACCTTTATAACGTATACAGAAGCAATGTTCAAAAGTCCCATAAAGTGCATAAATTCTTGGCCACATTAAAAATCGGAATACACTTAAGTATGTCCATCCCTTCATCTGTCCTGTCCGTTTGTCTGCCTGCGCAAGTGTCTGGTATCTGCGCTAAATATTCTCTCGCTCGCAAAGGTGGAGATATCGCTTATAAACTTGCAATCGAATTTAGAAATGACTCGCACTTTTCATAGAACACGCCTACAACACCCATACGTCTATGTAGCAAAAAGTGTGAACACTTTTGTTTGCTTGTCACTCATAAAGTACACAAAGCATGCATACATAAATATACATCAGTAAATTTCCATTTTTATTCTAAAAATAGAAAAAATCAACCGCGCCCATCCAATATCGTAGAATATGAAAATTTGGTCGCTTTCCTTTTCCTTAGGATCATGTTGATGGGTATAAAAGATTCGGTCACCACCGAACACGATTTTTTTACTTGTTATTCCTGATGCCGAAGCATGAGGTTATAATAAATTGATTATCCGGTTTATAATATTCGCACATCAGATAGATATTGAATCGAATAAGCCACGTCATGGCTGTTCAATGTGGCTTACAAAACGTTATAGTCGGTCTATACCTTACATCATTTGGGGTATAGGCCCATTGTATAGGATGCATTAAGTTTTAATTCAGTATTAACATCAAGAAGTGTGTTGCAGCATCATTTTCTGAATCAGTTTGCCTGAGGTTTGTTCATGTATTCTTGTGTTGACCACAACGTTTACGAAATTTCGACGAAATTTTGTTCAGGCACAAGACTTATTGAACATGGATTGGTTCGGACTATCTTTGTGATCGTTCTCCCCGCAACGCCTTTTTTTGAAACAGACCTTCTTTCTCGACGAAAAAAATGCTGATTAATATAAAATGACTGCGTGCTTTAAATTTATGTCGAAAATTTAGACGGAATGGGCCGAGTTTTTGAACTTCCTCCTACGTGATCGTTTCTATGAACATGTGAGACTTTCTATGGCGAAACGGTCTGGTCTTTTAGATTTCACAAGAAGAATTGGTCCGTAATAGATGTTTGACATAAAAATCAATGATGCCAAATTCGGATCATCTAAGTCTATTTCCTACATTGTATCCCGTGTAGGCGTACTTATGCGTAGCAATCCTCCATTTGGCAACAATGTTTCATTTGTAATGCTTTACGATCAAAATGGCTTAAATAAACTATGTTGTTTTGGAAGCGAACTAATTGCTCGAAATTCAGACCACATCAGCTTATGTTTTGGAGCCTCTTTCATATAAATGCATGCAAAAAAAATAGACGTTAGATGAAAGCAAATTACAATGGCTGGTGTTTTATCGCGAAAATCAATAAAGAATTGTACTAGGCGAGGCGATGTAACGTCTCTCACGATCGGTCTTGCCCGACTACAATGTTCTTAGTGGCTTTTACTTGTCCTTCTTTTAATGTCTGTTTTATAGTACGGGAAATGTAATATAAAATGTGTGCAGTTTTTCATTTTTTTCGTCGCTCATATAAATTTATTGACCTTCCGTTGCTATCATGAGCGCGATGGTAAAAAAAAAACAAAGAAAAACAAAAAAAACATAAAAAAGAAAAAGAAACACATCGGCTTAATCAGCAACCATTTGGTGGTGACAATAGCCCTGTTTTCTACTATATATATCATTTCTATTTTTAGGCAGTGAATCGGGCCTTAATAGGTCAGATGTCTGTTATCAAGTATGCAATCAAATTAATTGTCTTTTTATTAGGCGACCACACTTACATCATTTTCGAACTACATTACATCTATAGCATACACGTAGAAAGACGGAAAGAAATGTAAACGAGATGGAAGAAGGAAGGAATAAAAAAAAGGCACACGGAATGTGTGTGCATGGGGAAGTGTTATGAAATACATCGATCACGAGACTAAAATAGGCAAACACTAAAGTGGTAATCGCCGCGGAAACGCATCTTTAACAGCCACTACCATCCAATCCAATAGATTATCACTCACGTATTAAAAGATCGTACGAATTATTTGTGCTAGCGATAGTCAAGAGTTTGTGTAAATATAAAAACGAAGATTGAGGCAGAAAATGAAGATACGGTGACGTTAATATTAATGCACGGTTTCTCAGGCACGACAAGTTACGAATACTGTATTCGTGCAAAATCGTCTGGTTACCTTGCTTTCGCATTTCTTAACCAGGGACAAACGTATATTTATTAGTATTTGTAGGTCTCGGAAATAGGTTTGTCTGTCTCTTCTGTCCTCATTTGAAAGTTTAATAATGCAAGCAAAGATTTAAATTAAGATATAAAATTAATACAACATGTATTTGTTATGCATAAATCAAATTTGAAAATGACCACTATCGACTTACCCAAGAACTTTTATAATCGTTAAAATGCTGAAATCATCAAAGAAGACAACAAATGATTAGAAATTTCTTTATATTAATAATAGATATGTAACAAATATTTTGTTTATGGGAATATTGAAGTCCTTATGAAGTCCTTATCCTTATAATCGTTAAAATGCTGAAATCATCAAAGAAGACAACAAATGATTAGAAATTTCTTTATATTAATAATAGATATGTAACAAATATTTTGTTTATGGGAATATTGAAGTCCTTATGGAATATTTTCACTAAACACTTACGCCTTACTGTACCGTACATCGCTGTGAATATTGTCATAGTTAACTATTTGAGATAGACCTGATAATTAGATTACGCATCAACGCG